GGCGGCGTTGTGACACTATTCTATAAAAACCAACCGGTCTCCAGTGTTTTCTCGCTCTGTCTGCAGTTCGGCGTGACGCTGCTGTTTCTCATCCTGAGCGAAGGAGAGCGCATGCAGAGCTCCGACCCAAACTGTGAGCTCATGGACGACAATCGATGGTGAGTCTGCGCCGACGGTTCGTCCTGCTTCCTGCCTCTTCATCGTCCTCATCATCCTCTGTGTCGGTCCAGGACTGAGTTGGTGTTCTCGGTGACCAGGGAGCTGCTCGGCGTCCCGTCTTCATCGCTGGCTCCGCCCCTCTTCACGCCTCCCAACCTGCTGTCTCTGTTCTCGCGCTACGTGGATCGGCAGAGGCTGGAGCTGCTGCAAGACAAGCTACAGTGAGGCTTCATCGGCGCTCTTCATCGGCGCAGACAAACACGGTGCTGAATGTAAATCTGTTTGTTTTCCAGGATCTCTGCTTCATCCAGGTAGAAGTTACTACATCATCATCGTCAACATGGCCCCTCCCACTCAATGCAGAACTTTGGTGTGTGTGTAAGGGTGTGTGTGTGTGTGTGTCAGGGTGTGTGTGTGTGTGTCAGGGTGTGTGTGTGTGTGTCAGGGTGTGTGTGTGTGTGTGTCAGGGTGTGTGTGTGTGTGTCAGGGTGTGTGTGTGTGTGTCAGGGTGTGTGTGTGCTCTGGAGGCGAATCCGTCTGGATCATTTTAAAGCAGAAGAATCTCTCGTCACATGTTGTTTTTCTGTTTAGTCTGGTTCTTTCTGTGTGTGTGTGTGTGTGTGTGTGTGTGTGTGTGGGTGTGTGTGTGTGTGTGTGTGTGTGTGTGTGTGTGTGTGTGTGTGTGAGCAGGTGTGTTTGTGAAACAACCTGAATGATGACAAAAATGAAATCTGCATTTTTAAATATCTTGTTTACAATTATGCCTGTGATAAAATTAAAAGTATTTCTATTATATAGAAATGTTTCTGTTCTGCTTCCTGTCTGAGTCATGATTGGTGCTTTCGTCGCCATGGTAACGACAACATCCTGCAGTGATGCATGAATTCATGCCAAAGGAGTCCAGACCACGTTCTGCTTTGATCACATCCAGAATTAAAAAGCTTTAGTTTTATTGGTCTGATCATTTAATATTTATCTAATAAAACTCTTGCATTTCCACCAACTGTTTGTCAGAATCATTAAATAATCAGGTTTACCTCTGAGTTGCTATAGAAGTCAAATAAAAAGGTTTGCATCACATGACATGGTTTTCTCATACTTTATTTAATCTGCCTGATGGCAACCCAATAATTTAACATTTGACATCAGAATCAACTAAGATCATGAGCACAAATTAATATTTTGGTGTTAAATATTGATTCCCACAGTAGGAACACAAAGTATTCCTGTAGAATCTTGTGGTTTCCAGTTGGATGTGGCTAAAGACAGGAAGATGGAGGAGCCACACAGTTTTTGACCTCGCTTTTTCTTTCTCTTTCCTATTTACTCTTTATTAGTGTGGAATGTAACATTTTGTACTGTTTTGATTTCTGAAGTGAACAGTTCAACGTATCAAGAGGATTCAGTCTGAAATGAAGGGGAAAGACGGAGAGCGTCCAGCTTATGGCTTCATTAATTAGGAACCTCCAATTACGACCATAGAGTAAAATGTCTAACAGTTGGATCTAAACTAAACTTACACATTGAAACGGTTGAAATTCACACCTGAAGGGTCTCGGTTTGCGTTTCAGGTCAGAAATACATTAAAAAAGCTAACGCCCGAACAGGGACTTGAACCCTGGACCCTCAGATTAAAGTCTGATGCTCTACCGACTGAGCTATCCGGGCTCTGAGCGCAGAGGTGCGGAAGACTCCATTCATTCCTCCAAACATGGCGGCGGATGGGCCGAACCAGAGTGCAGCTCTATATCTATTAGAATCAGTTTATCTCTACACACGGCTCGTTCTGTCTGCCATTCTGTTTACTGCTAACACGCTAAAAACAGTACAGGGATCACTTCCGCTTTTCTGCTTCAAAATAAACACAGCGCGAGTGAAATTAGAGCCAACTCAATTCATTCTGATCGCAATTTCTATTTCTAATTTCTCAGTATTTTTCTGAAATGATGCCAGTATTCCATGGACAGATGAGCCAAACATCATCAGGACAGTTTTGTAGGAACAAGTTTCCTTGTAGAACTTCCGTCACAAACTTTTATGAGATGTAGTTTTGTTTGTTGTCCACCAAGTGGCAGTATTGTACCTGGTTAATTTCTAGACCATGTAATATCTTAATTTCCCACCAGATGGCACTGTTGGTTTCCTCTGGCTTTTCTTTCTGTTAAAACGTCCAATAATCTGTAGGACATTTTGTTAGGAAGATTGAAAACTTCAGCCAGGCAAAAAGCAGCGAAGCGAAGATAACAAACCAGAAACATGTTTCTAAAAAAAAAAACTTCAGCTAATTATCATTTAAATGATCTCTTTAAAACGCCAGACCTGCCTCGCGTCCCGCCCAGCTGGAAGAAACGCTGTGACGCAAATCTTTGTTGACATTTAATATTTATTCTACACATTTTATAGCTTTGGAAAACGTTAAGAATGATTGTGTCGTGTTTGTCCTCCTACAGAAACATATTCAAACAAAAAATATATTTCCCACCGCCATCTTCTTCCATTTTCAAACATTTTTTGAAAAAGCTCCAAAGAGCCGCTAGGGCGGCGCTAAAGAGCCGCAGGTTGCCGACCCCTGTCTTAAGTTAAACATTTTTAGTTCGTCATCCAGTGTAAATATCACATTATCGCCTATTTGATGATGATGACAGAGATGAAGAGCAGAACCAGTTTTAGGAGGTCAGAGGTCAATCATTAGGGCAACATCAATGCTCGAGACCAAAGACAACCTGGAGGCAATGCTGCTGGTTAAAATCCAGAGTGTGCCGCTGAGCAACAGGTGGCTCCGTGGCGCAATGGATAGCGCATTGGACTTCTAGTCAAACACTTGAGAGGTGATTCAAAGGTTGTGGGTTCGAGTCCCACCGGAGTCGCATTTTGTTTTCTCGACAATTTCATAAATATATTTCCAGAAGTTCCAGATTTGGTTTAATCTGTCAGCGAGTTCAGTTCCGCTGACAACAATCCACGAAGAGCAACTTTTGTCTCACTGGACGTTGGAACGCGTTGCTTCTATCAGCCACTAGAGGGAGACTGTTCACCGTTAAAACCAAAGGCAGCTCCGACATCGATGAAGCTGGTTAACCCTAACCCTAACCTCTAACCCTAACTTCTAACCCTAACTTCTAACCCTAACCCTAACCTCTAACCCGGTCTCGTGCTGGTATTTAGCCTTAGATGGAGTTTACCACACGCTTTGGGCTGCATTCCCAAAACAACCCGACTCCCAACATGATCAATACATTGTGATCATGTTCCTCCCAGCATGAAGGAGAACGATCAATACATTGTGATCATGTTTCCTCCCAGCATGAAGGAGAACGATCAATACATTGTGATCATGTTCCTCCCAGCATGAAGGAGAATGATCAATACATTGTGATCATGTTCCTCCCAGCATGAAGGAGAAATGATCAATACATTGTGATGATGTGCCTCCCAGCATGAAGGAGAATGATCAATACATTGTGATCATGTTCCTCCCAGCATGAAGGAGAATGATCAATACATTGTGATCATGGCGTTCTGCTGCATCCGCTGTGATTTGTGTGAAACTGCCGTTAACCAAACCAAAATCTGCTCTCATCTGATTCATATCTGTTGTTTTTATCAGAAATCAGAAACTATGGGAAATTAAACTTCATCCAACAATAAAATCATCAGATCAATATTTTATTCTGGTTACCAGAAGTATATTATGTCCAGAACAGGAAATAAAATCCTCTTTATTGGTCATTATTTATTATACTGGATGAGGAATAAAAATGTTAATTATTCTAATTTCAGATGAAGAAAATAATTTTCAATTTAAATGTGATTTTATTAAGATTTAGAAGGATAGTGGTAAAATACATATTTGGATTTTGATTTACTGACATTCTCAGAATAAACTGCCTTGAACTAAACTCTAGCTGAAAATTATTTTTCTGTTATTCTATTGAATCACTTCAGGAACTCATCAAATCAATAACAAATCCATAATCGATACACAAATTACAGAATCTGGTTGGGTTCCAGGAGCCACTTTAACAAAAGGCATCTAAACAGTATTTTATTTTGTTTTTATTAAATATTGGTAATTTATATTCTTATCTTTTCAACTTACTTTTTGACTGATTATTTATTTGATAATGTATTGATTATTTTATTGATATTGGTCACAAGTTATCACAGAGCAATATTTTCAGAAAGTGACGATGTTTTTGTTCAGGTTATGATTAAACCATCTGTTCCTGTGTTCTGACCCCGCTGCGGTTCTGACCCGCTGCGGTTCTGACCCGCTGCATCCATCATAAAGGTTCTGGCCCGGTTCTGAGATCCAAGCTTAAGATGATCATCATCTTTTATGGATTCTCTTTGCAAACCAGAATCTCCTGTTTAATTAAATATTTCTTAGTTTTAAAAAAAGCTGTTGTGTCTGATTGGTTAATATATTAATAATATATTATTATATTGATATATTAATTAATATATTAACATAATAATATTACTATAATAATATAATCTGTTCTGTTGGTTTCTCTACATTTTGCAGCCATGCCAAAAAATATCATTAAACAAAACTTGAGAAAAAAGTGCTAATATTATATGACAACTTTATTCTGTGTGATTTTATCTAATAATTTTGTTTCTTTACTTCTCATCTTGTTTTGCTGCACCTAAATGTAAAGAATAAACATTAATTTCTGTTAATTTCATCCAATCAGGTGTGGCCTGTGATGACATGTTCGTCCAATCGTGTTGCGCTTTTTCTCGTCCAATCAGATGCTGCCATTGAGAAACGCCCACTTTGTCTGCAGACACGCCCACTTCATGCTCATTGGCTGAAATAAACCCTTTCATCACGATGATGTCATAGTGATTTTATTCTGAGGCAGAACAATGAGGCATTCTGGGTAAATCTGAGGTTCTTCAGGACAAACAACAACAGACTTCATGAGACATAAACGGATAAATTATTCTTCCAGTTCTGGTTCTGGAGGAAAACAAACATTTCCTGTTAAATAATCTGCATATTTTGCTCCGAGGCGTCGGAGCCTTTTACATTACAGTCTAAAGGTTTCCACGGAGGTCCACCGGGTCGGATCGGGTCGCGGTTCTGATTGAGCGTCGCTCTTTGGGAGAACAAGTCGAATCCTTAAAGGAGGAAAAATCCGGCCGGCGTTCCCGCTGCTCCTGAGCGGGGCCCGGCCGCCGCCCGGCCGCCGCACGTCCATCAGCGGCCGGCGCCGGGTTATCTGGGAGACACGGGCGCGGCTGGGGAAGTGGGCGGAGTCTCCGTTGCCGCAGGGCGAGGGGGCGACAGGCGGCGCGGGCTGCCCAGCAGGTCGCCGTTATGCAGCTTCCACAGCAGCTCCTCGTTCTCCATGGACAGACGCTTGTTGACCTTTGACTCCTTCTGCAGGGTCTGCTGCAGGATGGCCTGCTCTGTGGACAGCTGCCTGCAGGGGGCGACAGAGAGCAGAACCGGGTCAGAGAGCAGAACCGGGTCAGACTTTAGCTCTAAACTAAACGCTCACCAAGGAACTAAAGACCAATATGATGAATTACTAAACTACATATTATTTAACTGACTGAATATTTAGTTTGGAGTTAAACTAAATTATTACTGTTAAGTTTTTCCAGTCTCTTTACAAGCGGCGCGTTTCCTGCAGGAGCTTCGGTTCAGTTTTCATGTTCGCCTCAAGCTGGATGTTACTCTGGTTTCCAGCTTCTCCTGGAAGATACTGCCTGCTCTCAACTAACCCTGCTTCTCACGCTGCTTTTCTGGTTGTGCAACTTTTTCCTACCACTTTTTCTTTCCACCTAACTTTCCATAGATATCCTTGAACGGTCAGCGATGATCTCTTCGCCTAACGGCCTGAGACGAAAACAGAACCCTCCTCTTCCTCATAAACACAGCAATGATGATGATGACGTTCAGCTGAGGCTCTTACTTTGAAAGAGCCGCGTGTTTGTGCATCCTGGCCTTGTAGTCCTCGTTCTCCTGCTGCACCTTCGTCAGACACTCCTCCAGCCGGACGTTCGTCTCCCCCTGCAACACAATGACGATCACAGCTGGAGGTCAGAGTTAAAGGTCACAGCTGGAGGTCATAGGTCGTCCAGCTCACCAGCTTGTCCATCTCCATCAGCTTCTTCTCCTTCTGGTGCAGCTGCTGGTTCTTGATCTCCAGCACCACCTTGAGGCTGTCCAGCTCCTGCTCCAGGTACAGCGTGTGGGAATCCTTCTGGACACAGACCAGCAGGGGGCGCCAGAGTTCAGCAGTCAGACAACCTGGATGATCTTCTACAGTTTTACTGATTTTAAATGTTCTGGAAACAAAAACATGTCCAGAAAACTGGAACACTGAGCCCTTTATTGGTTTTTAACAACAACAAAAAAAAAAAAACAAAGTAATGAGAAAATTTGTGAAAATCTTTACAGTTTGATCATCAAAGGAATAAAAAGTTTTCAGGCTTTAAAGGTTGTGAAAATCATTTTAACATGTTTCACACTGACATAAATCAACTGAGTTTATTTGATTAAATAATATTGAAGACAACTTTTCTCATTAAGTTATAGAGTGGAGAGCAGGGTGTCCAACATGTGGTGCGGGGGCCATGTGTGGCCCTTGAACTGATTCTGTGTGGCCCCAACTGCATTTTATTCAAGAATACAAATTCATTGGTGATCACAGTCAAATTATTATATAAAGTAAAATGTTAATATGACAGAAAATATTAGTTACATACTCTGCTCTCCACGACCACAGAAACGGTTACGATGGGCCAGATTTGGCCCGCGGGCCTCGAGTTCGACTCGTCTTAAAGGATCAGATTCTGGTTCTGAAGCTTTCGGCTGATTTCATCTAGAAAAAGTTTGGATTTTTCATTCTGGTTTAATGTTGAAAGAAAAGTTCCTGCTGGAGAGAACCACTCAGTACCACCATAAACCTCCTTTAGATCAGCGGTTCTGACCCGGTTCCGGGTTCTGACCCGGTTCCGGGTTCTGACCCGGTTCCGGGTTCTGAGTGTTCGGTGCCGTTTACCAGACTTTTGTCGCTCAGGATTCGTTGCCGCCTCTCTCTTCTTCTGCTCTCAGTTTCTGGCTCAGATCGTCGTTTTCAGCCGACAGCAGCGAGATTTTCTCCTGCAGGAAAAACACAGACAGACTGGTTCTGATCCGCCTCCCTGACCCAAACGGTTCTGCCTTCAACACTCCACATTTTAGATTTCTGATATCTAGCCCAACAAATCTAGGTCTGATTTTCTCTGTCCCTGCTGAAAAGCTAGCCACACTAACCATGCCAATAACGCTAACTATGCTAATCTATGTTAGTCCACGCTAACGTTACTAATCATCACTAATCATGCTAATTCTCATTCATCCAAATCCATTCTAGCCATGCTAATACAAGATAACTATGATAATCCATGCTAATCTCGCACATAAACATGGATGGATGTGGAACTGGGGATTTGTTTTTTTATAGCCATCTGAATGTTGTCAATGCTCTTATTTTGGAGGAACAACACAGGAAACAGTGGGCGTGGCTCTTACAGTGAGCGACGTTTCGGTTTCCTTCAGCGTTTTCTGCAGATCCTCCAGTTCAGTCACCTGGACTCTCCTCAGCTCTGAAACAGGAAGTGAAAAAGGCTTTTAGCTTCTGGGACTAAAATTATTCATGATTTTAGTCCCAGAAGAGACACCTGACACACACACACACACACACACACACACACACACACACACACACACACACACACACCTTGTATGGAAGTGTCGTACTCCTGTTTCACCGCCTCCATCTTCTGGCTGTGACTCTCTTCCTGTTTCTTCTTCTCTACTTCCTGTCGGCTCCTCAGCTCCTCCACCTGAGCAACAGAATCAACATGGCGGCTTTAGCGTCCTGCCGCGGCGTTTGCGGTTAGCTGGTTGCGTTGCGTTCTCACCTGCTGCTCCATCAGCAGTCGGCATTTATCGGCCTCCTCCTGGTACAGCTGGTGGACTTTGTCCCACTCGGCCTGGTAGAAACTTTTCAACCTGCAACACAGAGAAACATGAAGGTTCTCCTCCCAGCCACCAGGGGGAGCAAAAGCTGCATGTGCTCCTCATTTCCAGAAAGTTCAAATATATTTATACGTCATTATATAAATAAGTTTTATAAAATAAACTAAAATACTAACTCTGCTCTCAAACTGGCTCAACACTCAACATCTGAATTTTATACACATTTTTTAATACAAAAATGCATTTTTGTATTTTATCCTTTAAAAAAAGAATTTCTGTTAAAAGATTAATTCTAGTCAAGTTGTGTAACTGTGGCCTGTTTTGCTTGTAAAATACCATTTGTTCTATTTTTGGAGCATCGAAACGGTTGCGAATCGGGTCACTGGAGATTCATAACATGGGCCCCAGACGCATAGGGCCCCAGACGCATAGGGCCCCAGACGCCCAGGGCCCCAGACGCATAGGGCCCCAGACGCATAGGGCCCCAGACGCCCAGGGCCCCAGACGCATAGGGCCCCAGACGCCCGGGGACCCAGACGCCCGGGGACCCAGACGCATAGGGCCCCAGACGCATAGGGCCCCAGACGCCTGGGGACCCAGACGCCCAGGGCCCCAGACGCCCAGGGCCCCAGACGCATAGGGCCCCAGACGCCTGGGGACCCAGACGCCCAGGGCCCCAGACGCCCAGGGCCCCAGACGCCCGGGGACCCAGACCGCATAGGGCCCCAGACGCATAGGGCCCCAGACGCATAGGGCCCCAGACGCCCAGGGCCCCAGACGCCCAGGGCCCCAGACGCATAGGGCCCCAGACGCCCAGGGCCCCAGACGCCCGGGACCCAGACGCATAGGGCCCCAGACGCATAGGGCCCCAGACGCATAGGGCCCCAGACGCCCAGGGCCCCAGACGCCCAGGGCCCCAGACGCATAGGGCCCCAGACGCATAGGGCCCCAGACGCCCAGGGCCCCAGACGCATAGGGCCCCAGACGCATAGGGCCCCAGACGCCCAGGGCCCCAGACGCCCAGGGCCCCAGACGCATAGGGCCCCAGACGCCCAGGGCCCCAGACGCATAGGGCCCCAGACGCCCAGGGCCCCAGACGCCCAGGGCCCCAGACGCCCAGGCCCCAGACGCATAGGGCCCCGAGGGCCCCAGACGCATAGGGCCCCAGACGCCCAGGGCCCCAGACCCCAGGGCCCCAGACGCATAGGGCCCCAGACGCCCAGGGCCCCAGACGCCCAGGGCCCCAGACGCATAGGGCCCCAGACGCCCAGGGCCCCAGACCCCAGGGCCCCAGACGCATAGGGCCCCAGACGCCCAGGGCCCCAGACGCCCAGGGCCCCAGACGCCCAGGGCCCCAGACGCATAGGGCCCCAGACGCATAGGGCCCCAGACGCCCAGGGCCCCAGACGCCCAGGGCCCCAGACGCATAGGGCCCCAGACGCCCAGGGCCCCAGACGCCCAGGGCCCCAGACGCATAGGGCCCCAGACGCCCAGGGCCCCAGACGCCCAGGGCCCCAGACGCATAGGGCCCCAGACGCCCAGGGCCCCAGACGCCCAGGGCCCCAGACGCATAGGGCCCCAGACGCATAGGGCCCCAGACGCCCGGGGACCCAGACGCCCGGGGACCCAGACGCACAGGGACCCAGACGCATAGGGCCCCAGACGCACAGGGCCCCAGACGCATAGGGCCCCAGACGCCCAGGGCCCCAGACGCATAGGGCCCCAGACGCATAGGGCCCCAGACGCCCAGGGCCCCAGACGCATAGGGCCCCAGACGCCCAGGGCCCCAGACGCATAGGGCCCCAGACGCCCAGGGCCCCAGACGCCCAGGGCCCCAGACGCCCAGGGCCCCAGACGCCAGGGCCCCAGACGCATAGGGCCCCAGACGCATAGGGCCCCAGACGCATAGGGCCCCAGACGCATAGGGCCCCAGACGGCCCCTGACGCTGCAGGTTCTCAGGTTCCTCCACATCAGGGGTGGAATCCTCTTGGACGTCTCTCCGGTCCGACACTCTTGACTCCAGCAGCTGAATCTCCGCCGAGTCCGGTCCGGTCCGGTTCTGCAGAGTTCTACTGATGAACTCGTCATTTAACTCGGGTGTGTTGAAGCAGAGATGCATCTAAAGTTGCGGGAGAGCGGCCCTCCACTTGCCCAGCCCTCTCCACGTCTTCAGACGTTCCCCTCATAAATCTGCAGGTTCAGTGGCTGAACTTTGACCCCGACGTTTCCAGGTGAGTCGATTCTTACCTGTTCTCCACTGAACCAGCTCCTCCTGGTGCTGCTCCTGCGCCTCCTCAGCGCCTCCTCCAGGGGGACCGCAGCTCCTCCCTCTGCGCCTGCAGGTTCTGGCAGCGCCGCGCCGCCGCCGCTGCACGGACAGGAACCGGGTTACCACGGCAACGGCGGGTTCAAAGGGCGGCGGCGGTTTTTGGAAACAACACGGAGATCCTGACGTTCCATCTGCAAGTTACGCTGAGGTATGCAGGCCCGCCGGTTCTGATGCGTCTGCAGCAACACGGCCAGAACCGCGACCCAGAGCCGTGTTGCCATGGCGACAGCCGGCTCTGAATGGAGCTCTGTCACCATGGCAACGGAGACACCGAGCAGCTGACCCGAACCCGGTTCTGATGGACGACCCGGTTCTGATGGACGACCCGGTTCTGATGGACGACCCGGTTCTGATGGAGCCAAATGTTCCTGAACTGAACCGGGTTTGGGTTCTGAGCAGCTGCAGGAATCTTCCTGTGGAATCAACTATAAAGTTGATTCTGCCTGTATCACAACGCGACTGTGTGTGTGTGTGTTGTAATGTGTGTGTGTTGTAATGTGTGTGTGTGTTGTAATGTGTGTGTGTTGTAATGTGTGTGTGTGTTGTAATGTGTGTGTGTGTTGTAATGTGTGTGTTGCAGTGTGTGTGTGTGTGTGTGTTGCAGTGTGTGTGTGTGTGTGTTGCAGTGTGTGTGTGTTGTAATGTGTGTGTGTTGCAGTGTGTGTGTGTGTAATGTGTGTGTGTTGCAGTGTGTGTGTGTGTAATGTGTGTGTGTTGCAGTGTGTGTGTGTTGTAATGTGTGTGTTGCAGTGTGTGTGTGTTGTAATGTGTGTGTGTGCAGTGTGTGTGTGTTGTAATGTGTGTGTGTTGCAGTGTGTGTGTGTTGTAATGTGTGTGTGTTGCAGTGTGTGTGTGTGTGTTGCAGTGTGTGTGTGTGTGTGTTGCAGTGTGTGTGTGTGTGTGTGTTGCAGTGTGTGTGTGTGTGTGTTGCAGTGTGTGTGTGTGTGTTGCAGTGTGTGTGTGTGTTGCAGTGTGTGTGTGTGTGTGTGTGTTGCAGTGTGTGTGTGTGTGTGTTGCAGTGTGTGTGTGTGTGTGTGTGTGTTGCAGTGTGTGTGTGTGTGTGTGTTGCAGTGTGTGTGTGTTGTAATGTGTGTGTGCAGTGTGTGTGTGTGTGTGTGTGTTGCAGTGTGTGTGTGTTGTAATGTGTGTGTTTGCAGTGTGTGTGTGTTGTAATGTGTGTGTGTTGCAGTGTGTGTGTGTGTGTGTGTTGCAGTGTGTGTGTGTGTGTGTGTTGCAGTGTGTGTGTGTGTGTGTGTTGCAGTGTGTGTGTGTGTGTGTTGCAGTGTGTGTGTGTGTGTGTTGCAGTGTGTGTGTGTGTGTGTGTGTTGCAGTGTGTGTGTGTTGTAATGTGTGTGTGTTGCAGTGTGTGTGTTGTAATGTGTGTGTGTTGCAGTGTGTGTGTGTGTGTGTGTGTTGCAGTGTGTGTGTGTGTGTGTGTTGCAGTGTGTGTGTGTGTGTGTGTGTGTGTTGCAGTGTGTGTGTGTGTGTGTTGCAGTGTGTGTGTGTGTGTGTGTGTGTGTTTGCAGTGTGTGTGTGTTGTAATGTGTGTGTGTTGTAGTGTGTGTGTGTTGTAATGTGTGTGTGTTGCAGTGTGTGTGTGTTGTAATGTGTGTGTTGCAGTGTGTGTGTGTGTGTGTTGCAGTGTGTGTGTGTGTGTGTGTTGCAGTGTGTGTGTGTTGTAATGTGTGTGTGTTGCAGTGTGTGTGTGTTGTAATGTGTGTGTGTTGCAGTGTGTGTGTGTTGTAATGTGTGTGTGTTGCAGTGTGTGTGTGTTGTAATGTGTGTGTGTTGCAGTGTGTGTGTGTTGTAATGTGTGTGTGTTGCAGTGTGTGTGTGTTGTAATGTGTGTGTGTTGCAGTGTGTGTGTGTTGTAATGTGTGTGTGTTGCAGTGTGTGTGTGTGTGTAATGTGTGTGTGTTGCAGTGTGTGGTGTGTGTTGCAGTGTGTGTGTGTGTGTGTGTTGCAGTGTGTGTGTGTGTTGCAGTGTGTGTGTGTGTGTGTGTGTGTTGCAGTGTGTGTGTGTGTGTGTGTTGCAGTGTGTGTGTGTGTGTGTGTGTTGCAGTGTGTGTGTGTGTGTGTGTTGCAGTGTGTGTGTGTGTGTGTTGCAGTGTGTGTGTGTGTGTTGCAGTGTGTGTGTGTTGTAATGTGTGTGTGTTGCAGTGTGTGTGTGGTGTGTGTGTGTTGCAGTGTGTGTGTGTTGTAATGTGTGTGTGTTGCAGTGTGTGTGTGTTGTAATGTGTGTGTGTTGCAGTGTGTGTGTGTGTGTGTGTGTTGCAGTGTGTGTGTGTGTGTGTGTTGCAGTGTGTGTGTGTGTGTGTGGTGTGTTGCAGTGTGTGTGTGTGTTGCAGTGTGTGTGTGTGTGTGTGTTGCAGTGTGTGTGTGTGTGTGTGTTGCAGTGTGTGTGTGTTGTAATGTGTGTGTGTTACAGTGTGTGTGTGTTGTAATGTGTGTGTGTTGCAGTGTGTGTGTGTGTGTGTGTGTGTTGCAGTGTGTGTGTGTGTGTGTGTTGCAGTGTGTGTGTGTGTGTGTGTGTTGCAGTGTGTGTGTGTGTGTGTGTTGCAGTGTGTGTGTGTGTGTGTGTGTGTGTGTTTGCAGTGTGTGTGTGTTGTAATGTGTGTGTGTTGCAGTGTGTGTGTGTTGTAATGTGTGTGTGTTGCAGTGTGTGTGTGTTGTAATGTGTGTGTGTGTTGCAGTGTGTGTGTGTTGTAATGTGTGTGTGTTGCAGTGTGTGTGTGTTGTAATGTGTGTGTGTTGCAGTGTGTGTGTGTTGTAATGTGTGTGTGTTGCAGTGTGTGTGTGTATGTGTGTGTTGCAGTGTGTGTGTGTGTGTTGCAGTGTGTGTGTGTGTGTGTGTTGCAGTGTGTGTGTGTGTGTGTGTGTGTGTTGCAGTGTGTGTGTGTGTGTTGCAGTGTGTGTGTGTGTGTTGCAGTGTGTGTGTGTGTGTGTGTTGCAGTGTGTGTGTGTGTGTGTTGCAGTGTGTGTGTGTGTGTGTTGCAGTGTGTGTGTGTGTGTGTTGCAGTGTGTGTGTGTTGTAATGTGTGTGTGTTGCAGTGTGTGTGTGTGTGTGTGTGTTGCAGTGTGTGTGTTGTAATGTGTGTGTGTTGCAGTGTGTGTGTGTTGTAATGTGTGTGTGTTGCAGTGTGTGTGTGTGTGTGTGCAGTGTGTGTGTGTGTGTGTGTTGCAGTGTGTGTGTGTGTGTGTGTTGCAGTGTGTGTGTGTGTGTGTTGCAGTGTGTGTGTGTGTGTGTGTTGCAGTGTGTGTGTGTGTGTGTGTTGCAGTGTGTGTGTGTTGTAATGTGTGTGTGTTGCAGTGTGTGTGTGTTGTAATGTGTGTGTGTTGCAGTGTGTGTGTGTGTGTGTGTGTGTTGCAGTGTGTGTGTGTGTGTGTTGCAGTGTGTGTGTGTGTGTGTGTTGCAGTGTGTGTGTGTGTGTGTTGCAGTGTGTGTGTGTGTGTGTGTGTGTTGCAGTGTGTGTGTGTTGTAATGTGTGTGTGTTGCAGTGTGTGTGTGTTGTAATGTGTGTGTGTTGCAGTGTGTGTGTGTTGTAATGTGTGTGTGTTGCAGTGTGTGTGTGTTGTAATGTGTGTGTTGCAGTGTGTGTGTGTGTGTGTGTGTGTTGCAGTGTGTGTGTGTGTGTGTGTTGCAGTGTGTGTGTGTGTGTTGCAGTGTGTGTGTGTGTGTGTGTTGCAGTGTGTGTGTGTGTGTGTTGCAGTGTGTGTGTGTTTGCAGTGTGTGTGTGTGTGTGTGTTGCAGTGTGTGTGTGTGTGTGTGTGTTGCAGTGTGTGTGTGTGTGTGTTGCAGTGTGTGTGTGTGTGTGTTTGCAGTGTGTGTGTGTTGTAATGTGTGTGTTGCAGTGTGTGTGTGTGTGTGTGTTGCAGTGTGTGTGTGTTGTAATGTGTGTGTGTTGCAGTGTGTGTGTGTTGTAATGTGTGGTTGCAGTGTGTGTGTGTGTGTGTGTTGCAGTGTGTGTGTGTGTGTGTGTTGCAGTGTGTGTGTGTGTGTGTGTTGCAGTGTGTGTGTGTGTGTTGCAGTGTGTGTGTGTGTGTGTGTTGCAGTGTGTGTGTGTGTGTGTGTTGCAGTGTGTGTGTGTGTGTGTGTTGCAGTGTGTGTGTGTGTTGTAATGTGTGTGTTGCGTGTGTGTGTGTTGTAATGTGTGTGTGTTGCAGTGTGTGTGTGTGTGTGTGTTGCAGTGTGTGTGTGTGTGTGTGTTGCAGTGTGTGTGTGTGTGTGTGTGTTGCAGTGTGTGTGTGTGTGTGTTGCAGTGTGTGTGTGTGTGTGTGTGTGTTGCAGTGTGTGTGTGTTGCAGTGTGTGTGTGTGTGTGTTGCAGTGTGTGTGTGTTGTAATGTGTGTGTGTTGCAGTGTGTGTGTGTTGTAATGTGTGTGTGTTGCAGTGTGTGTGTTGTAATGTGTGTGTGTTGCAGTGTGTGTGTGTGTGTGTGTGTTGCAGTGTGTGTGTGTGTGTGTGTTGCAGTGTGTGTGTGTGTGTTGCAGTGTGTGTGTGTGTGTGTGTTGCAGTGTGTGTGTGTGTGTGTTGCAGTGTGTGTGTGTTGCAGTGTGTGTGTGTGTGTGTGTTGCAGTGTGTGTGTGTGTGTGTGTTGCAGTGTGTGTGTGTGTGTGTGTTGCAGTGTGTGTGTGTGTGTGTGTGTTGTAATGTGTGTGTGTTGCAGTGTGTGTGTGTGTGTGTGTGTTGCAGTGTGTGTGTGTTGTAATGTGTGTGTTGCAGTGTGTGTGTTGCAGTGTGTGTTGCAGTGTGTGTGTGTGTGTGTGTGTTGCAGTGTGTGTGTGTGTGTGTGTGTTGCAGTGTGTGTGTGTGTGTGTGTTGCAGTGTGTGTGTGTGTGTGTTGCAGTGTGTGTGTGTGTGTGTTGCAGTGTGTGTGTGTGTGTGTTGCAGTGTGTGTGTGTGTGTGTTGCAGTGTGTGTGTGTTGTAATGTGTGTGTGTTGCAGTGTGTGTGTGTTGTAATGTGTGTGTGTTGCAGTGTGTGTGTGTGTGTGTGTTGCAGTGTGTGTGTGTGTGTTGCAGTGTGTGTGTGTGTGTGTGT